ATTATATGCTGCATTTTCTACAGAAAAACCCAATTTTTTAAAGAAAATATAATATTTTCTTTTATATTTTTATTTATTCTGCAAAATATATTATATATTTTAGCAAAATAAGCCATCACTTACGTAAGGGATTGGACTATATTTTAATAGAAATTTTATTTCCATTTCTTTCGTGTAGTCTCTGAGGAATGAATGTATAAAACTGAGCATAAAATATTTATAAATATATTACTCAGATCTATATAATTTTATTGTCTTCATAAATCGTGTTAATATGTATATTTTACTTAGTCATGAAGACAATAAAATTATCATTTCCTGCTGATTGTCTTTATATTTAAAATTTTTACTAGACTGCTCGGTGGTCCCCACACCTTTGGTGTGGAGACTCATAAAAAGATAGTATTTAAATATTGTAATAAGAGTTCCCAGCATATAGAAAGATTAACTGGAGCAGTTTATTTTACCCCAGATGAACTGAACAATATCTGTACCAATAAAAGGAATAGCACTGAATAAGTTGGTAATAACCGTAGCCAAATCTTAAAATTTAATTATTGCTTATAAAGCAAGATCATTATAATCTTTATTCCATAATTAAATCCATGTATTTTTATAAAAAGAAAATAAAATTTTCTTTTTTATAAAAACCTTGTGAATAGTTTACTATTAAAGATTCCGACTGTACATTAAGCATCATTTCAGATACTCATTAGTGAACCAGTCTGTAAGGATTAAATATATAACCCACGGTCTTTTAACAGAATAATTAATTGACCAAGTTTTCACTAATATAGCTAAAATTTTCTTTTTTTTTTATTATTTTCTATATTGATTATTTTAATAAATTAAAAATATTAACTATATACTAAGATTGTAATTTATATTTCATACTAGGATGCATAAAAGGACTTACAATTAATTTTAATTTATTTATTGATTTTTTTGGAATATATATATTATATTGATTTATAACACCAGTTTTATGTATAGAAGTATCTAAAGAATAGATATCATCTAAATATTTACTTAAAATTTCTACTTCTTTTAAAGTAAAACAATTAGTACATAATTTTAAACCTGATGATACTTTACCACCATCATCCATTATCCATATTGCTAATGTTAATGGTGAAAGATATTGATTTATATTAAATGGTAGTTTCTTGGTATCATTTTGATACCAGGATTCTTGAATCCAATTAAAACTACTGAATGTATATGTTTTAAATCTTATAATATATCTTAATTTACCAAATTTACCTAGTCTAGTTTGAATTTTAGGTAAATTTGGATTACAATAACCCATATAAGACACATATTCATGTAAAAATAATAGATAATTTTTATGTGATGCTTCTTGATAAAATGATATTCTAGTACCATTACCATGTTTTTCAGCATAACCATCACCTAATAATGAACCAAATATTAAACATAACACATCTGTGTTGTGAGGTCCTATCCTTTTATTAACTCTTATGCCTGGTAGTATAAAAAAATAAATATAATCATTAATATATTTTGGGCAAAATATTTCACCCCAATAACTCATTTGACCATAAGGTAAAACATACAAATCTATCCTCTCAGATACTATCTGATGGAAAAATTTCGACTGTGCATTAAGCATCATATCAAATAAAAATTAATAAATAATTTTTATCTTTCAGACACCCATTAGTGACCCAGTCTGTCGCGATTATTTATTTAACCGACGATCTGCTCCTCAGACAGAGGCTTTTGATCGTTTTCACTAATATAACCAAATATCAGATTATATATATCATAATCTGTATACTCGACGATTATGTCTAATCGTCTAACTGTTAATTATATATATTCCTAATAAAAGTTAACTATATATAATTACTTAACCTACAAGTATTTTTATAATTAATAAAATTAAAAAAGTTTAACATTTATTGAATATAATTAATTTATCAACTTGTTAGATAAGTATCAGTTAGATTATCATTGAATACTTATAAATATTTTTTATTTATTTTTTAATATAATTAATATAAATTTATTATTTTCTTTATTAGTAGAGTTATTAAATTTTTTTTTATTTTCGTCAAAATTGTACAATTTTGAGATTAAATCTTTATTATTAGAATCTTTTATATAAGGATATATACCCATGTTTAATAATAAATCATCTATACTAAGTGATTTATTTTTATAAATAAAATCAATTAATAAAGGATCAGAATAAATTTTATTATTTATTAAAGCTCTTTGTAAAGTCTTGTTGCTGCAGCGCAGCAACAGGGCAGCCAACTGCAGGTTGGGACAAAAGAATAAAAAATTATCTTTATCATCATATAAATAAACAGGATGTTCTTTTGTAATACATTTTAATTTAGTTTCATAACTCATATGAGGTCTTTTTATTGCTGATTCACTCATTTTTTTTTTAGTTTCAATAGATAAATTTTTATTTAAATTTAAATTTTTAATAAATTCTTTCCTTTCTAAAGAAAAATTATCAGACATTTTTTTTCTGATTTCTTCATTATGTTTATAACCAAAAGAATTTCCTGCTTCTGTTAGTATATTATATTCAGGTAATAAAGTTTTTATATATTTAGTTTCTAATGCCAATAATAAAGAATTATTGGTTCTATTTATTATTTCAGGGTTAAATTCTAAAATTATAAAAGCAAAATTAGGTAAACCATATTTTAATATACTATTTTTAATTAATTTACTACCTGATAAATATATTAAATGTCTAGTAAATCTGGACATAAATTTATTAGTTGAAGCTGAACCTATATAATAATTTTCTGTTACTAAATTTAATACCATATAAATTCCTTGTTTATTTTTTAATTCTTTACTCATTTTATCCCGATTTCCGTTCAGATGCAAATCAGTATAAATTTTTTCATATTTTATACTCTTTTTAAAAAGTATAATAGAAGTTCCTAAACTTTTATCATTTATATTAATATTATTATCTACATTATTACTATAATATCTATTTTTCTTATTTATTGACGAAATAAAGATTAATAATAAATGATCTATATCTTCAATTAAATAAATATTCAATGATTTTGGGCTATGTATATAACCCAAGAAGGCTGTAGCCATAACTATTAAAAAGATTACTACACCAGTATACCATAATAATATTCTAGGTTTACTATAAGAACCATAATACAATGCTTTACCCATATGTAAATAAATAAATATAAAGAAAAATGCTGCTGTATTAGAATGCATATATCTAATAATCCAACCATTATTAACGTCACGCATAATGTGTTCGACAGAAACAAAAGCTAAATCTATTGATGGACAATAATGCCATTTTTACCAATTTAAAATTTTTATCTCCTAGTAAAAATTCTCTAAAAATCTCAAAAATATTATAAATTAGATAATTGTTCAATCAATAATTTGATCTTATTATCTCTTTCTAATGTTCTTTTAGATTCTATAATAAAAATTTTAACTATTTTTATCCATATAGAATATTGTAAATCTTTACGCCCCATAAGAGGATAATTAATAAAATGAGGGATCAATTTTTCAATGATTTCATTTTTTACAACTAATCTATATTTTGTAATACCTCGAGTTTCATGATAAACTTTACCAACCTTAAAATAATTTAGAATAGAAGTCAAAATATATTTATCTTTACTATCTTGAGATACTTCCATTACCAAAGTATAATCTTTAACTATTTCATTTTTTGAATTTTTTCGAGTTCTTGTAAAATAGGTAAAAGAACCTTCACCTGTTATAAACCCTGAAATCCAAAAAGGATTTAAATAAAGATTTTCATTTAAAATTGGTAATTCCGTTTCTAAAGAAACCGGTAAAATACCCAATTTATTTAACTGATCTCTCACGAGATCGGATAAAGGTTTATTTAATCTATTTACTAAAGAAGCTATTTGAAGTAACCCGTTTACTTTTACATGAGCTTTAGAATCAATTAAATTTATTATTTTACAAAAATACAAAAAACTAATTCTTTTTGATGTTTGTAATGGATATTTATTAAAATGTTCAATGATGACAAATAAATCTTTTTTTGATCTTACTCTATAACTAGCAAAATTACCACTTATATTAATTTTACCTATATTAAAAAATTTTTGAATTTTTTTTAATAAATTTAAATCTTTAACATGTAATGTAATCTGAAAACTAGGATTTATTGACCATCCAATGCTAGTTTTTGATTGTAATAAACTTATGGTAAAACATCCTTCTCCATCAGTAAATCCTGTTATAAACCAAGGATTAAAATTATTTTCTTTAATTTTATTTGATTGATTTCTATGCGTAATAAAATTAAACTTAATATTGTTTAATTGATTATTTGTTTTGTGATCTCTATAGGATTTTGAAGATAAATTTTTAATTGGCCAAAAAATAATTTCCAAATATTTATATTGAGATTGGACTATATCTTTATTATTTTATAATTATTTATTTAGGTGTAAAAATAAAACGTATATTTAAATACGAAATAAAAATAATATTTCACGTTTAGTCTCTGAAGATCCAGTTAAATTATAATTTAACTGGTTTCTTGCTGATTATCCATTATAATATCCTTAAGATTATTACCATAATTTCATATGTACGATTTAACAGAAAAAGGGTACTTAAGGCTTTAGGAACTTCCAGCATACAGTGAAATTTTATAGCTACGCAATAATCATAGCTAATGTTACACCAGTTAAGATTTGGATTATTAAACATACACCTAATAAACTACCAAAATTCCATATATATGAAATATTACTAGGAGCTGGTGAATCTATTATAAATTCATTAGCTAAAGAAAGAATAGGATGATTTTTTAAATTTTTCATATAAAAAATTTTATAAATTCATTTATTTTATGTATAAACATAACTTTATTATGAAAAGTTTTTTTTTTTACAGTTATCGGCTTTGACCGTCTACGAAACGGCAACTTGTTGTCTGACAAACTACTGCTTTCATTAAGCTACAAAGCCTTTTATAAATGCCACTAATCCGAATTGAACGGATAACTTCTCTTTGGAAGAGAGATAGTTTACCAATTAACCTATAATGGCTAAATTTTATATTTTATAGGTTATTTATTTTTACGGATGGTGGGATTTGAACCCACATAGTATAAAACTAATATCATCTAAAAATATCGTGTCTACCATTTCACCACATCCGTTAAAAAATATATATACAATAAATTATTATAAACTAATAAAGTGAAGTTAACTTTACCTTATTAAACTTTATTTGAAACTTATCTATAATGATATGTAAGTCCGGGGCTTAGCTCTGTCTTGGGTCAGCTGATAAGCATATATGCTTATCCGCAACCAGCTGGTGAACACCGTTTAACCCTTTCTAACTCAGCTTTGCCAAGCAGGACTTAATTAATAAAGATAAAATTATAATATGAAAATAAATTTCATTGAGAATTATATCAGTAATATAAATTTAATTATTCAACCACAGGTTCCCCTACGGTTACTATGTTACGACTTAAAACCGATCATGAACGAAAAGTGATAAAATAAAAAATATAAAATAAAGATAAAAAAATTTTTTTTTATTATTATTTTTATTTTTATATTTTTTTCTTACTTCGTATCCCATTTACTCTCGGTCCTTGACGGGCGATTAGTACACCGTCTAGAAAACGATTCACCGTAGCATTGTGATCCACGATTACTAGCAATTCCTACTTAAGATACTCGAGTTTCAGAGTTTCATCTGTACGTAGTTTAAGTTATAGATTAACTCTTTTTATTAATTTTGTTACTTATTGTTTAAACTCTTGTGGCACGTCTATAGCCCAATAAATATAGGTCATGATGACTTGTCTTGATCCCCAAATAAAAAATTGATAAAAAATAAAAGATGAAAAATTACTGAAAACTATAAAAAAAAAAGTTTTTTCAAAAAATTTCTCTAGTTTCGCAATGTTTGTAGTACTATTGTAATTACAACACAGAGGGTTACGTTCTTTAGTAAGACTTAACTAAACATTTGACAACAAGAACTGAAGACAGCCATGTAACGCCTGTTTAAATTTTACTAAAAATTTAGTAATCTAAACAAACCTAATAAGATATAAAAAGAAAAAAAATACAAATATTGGTAAGATTCTTTGTGGATCATCAAATTAAATAACATGCTTCACTGCTGGTTTAGAGGGCCGTCTATTCTTTTGGTTTTCTAGGTTGCCCTAGTACTCTCCAGGTGGAGTGTTTTAAATGTAAATCAAAGGAATGATAATAAATTATTCCCTTAACACTCATCGTTTAAGGTGCAGACTAATAGGGTCTCTAATCCTTTTCGCTACCCACACTTTAGTTACTCAACGTCAGTATATTATAGAAAAAAGCCTAAGCCTTCTAGAGTTCTCTTAAATATTAAAAGATTCCATCCTTCCATAAAAAATTCCAATTTCTTCTAAAATACTCTAGTAAAATAATTTAATAAATTAATTTTTTAAACTTTTATTTTTTTTATTAAAAAAAGTTATTTTACTGTCTAATCACTCTTTACACCTATTTATGATGAATAACAGCTATCCTTTTCGTATTACCGCGACTGCTGGCACGAAATTAGTCAGGATAATTAATAGAGATATAAACTCATAATGATTTTTTCTCCTTAAGCGTATATAAATAATATTACAACCTATAGTTTTTTAACTATTTAGCTGGAGCGATCTTTCGATCCTTGTCCAATATTCCTCACTGCTGGGGTCTTAAACCCATGGTCCTTTTTTCATTACCATTGTGGTTGATCATCCTCTCAGATCAACTATGGATCTTTGGCTTCGTAAGCTATTATCTCACGAATAACCTAATCCAATTTCTAAATTCATCCTAAAGCCAACTACGTTGATAAATAAAAGTATTTTACTTTACCTTAGGGAAGATTTTTTAACTTTATTACTCACCCTTTCGCTGCTTTTTTTTGCTAAACTAGCATGTGTAAAGCTAATAGTAACTGTTCATTCTGAGCTAAGATTAAACTCAAATTATAATTATATGAAAATTTATATAATAAATCATATTGTGATAATATTATTTCCTTATTATAATATAATAAATTTATAATTTTTATTTATTAGAATTAATTTTATTTTTAAGGTTACTATACCATTTTTTTTTGATTTATAAAAACAAAGTTTCTTGAATTTTAGTACTATATAGCGTATATCTTACGATTATATTACTTATAGCCTATTACGCATTGTTATTATGCGCATCTTTAAGGAATTTCTATTGGTAGGTTTCTAACTTTATATGCTTTCAGTTGTTATCCTTTATTAATTTAGCATTCCAGCCGTCGAATAAATTTCTTATTATTGGAACTGGTATACCATAGATTAACTCAACTAATTCCTCTCGTACAATAGTTAAATCCAATTTTTTAATTCCTTTCCCATTAGAAGATAGGAT